GGGAGAGCATGTTTGGTCTGGAAAGGTCGTCCTGAACCCGCGCCCCCCTTCTGATTAATGCAGTGATGCGACGCGCGCGACGGGATCGAACTAGACCAAGGACTTTGCAGTGGGTGGCAGTGGCAATTTTTTAGCGAGCTCCCGCGCCTCCTCCCGGGAGTCCCACCGGCGCCTAGTCTATAGGTCCTACTTTTAAAAGACTCGGAGACGCATTCAGGCGATCGCCAGATGAGCCGGGTCCGCCCTGAGTTCTGCCGGCCGAGAGGACGACGACAGCCTCGCGCCGCCCCACCTTTCAGAGGCGACGTCGTCGATGCCGAGGCGCACGCGCGCCCGGCCCCGCCAAAGGTAGACGTTGGCGACACAGCAACCGGTCGGCAACGCCTTCGCCAGCGCCGCCTCCAAAATCACGACTGAGCCGCAGGTATCCAGCACGCTCCTCCCGTCCGCGCGCTCGAGCGTGAGCATCTGCTCGCTCTCGAGGTCCGGGCCGTCGAGCGCACGCGCGAGCGCGTCGTCGTCGCCGCTCGCCGCGAGGACCCGACTGACCTCGTACACCTGATGCGCGCCCGAGTCCTTGATCTCCTTGATGCTCTGGAATGTGAGCTGCAGCTCGCCGACGAAGCCGTCCAGCGCCACGTTGAGCTTGACGTCGCGGTAGCCCGACTCGCTTTCCCGCAGGTTGTCCTTGCATCGTATAATGACCAGCTCCCCGCCGCGCGCCGCGGCGCGCAGCTTCGAGATCGCCGCGTTGAAGTCGTTCGCCGTGTCGTAGACGCCGGTCGCGCGCTCGACGTCGACGACTCGCCTTACGTCGCCCTCGTAGTCCGCCTCGGCCTTTTCCTTGATGCGCAGCGTCCCCTTGCGCGGGCCTTGATAGTAGGCGCCACCGGACTCCTTGACGGGCCGCTCGAGCGCCGCGTGCATCGCCTCGGCGTGCTCGCTGGCCAGCGCGACGAGCGCCTCGACGGTCGCTCCCTCGGGGAGCGCGCACCGCGGCGGGTCCGCGGGCGAGAACTCATCCTGGAGCTCAGCGGTCGCCAGCAGCAGGTCATCCGCCACGCAGGTGGCCCACGCCGCTTCGTAGAACGCTTTGACGTTCCCCTCCGCACGGGAGATCTCCTCCTGGAGTTTGGTTCGATCGCAATTCTTGACGTCGCGGTCGCCTGCTGGCGTTCGGGGCACGGCCCGCTCCACGTTGCTGCAGATGATCTGCACCTGGTCGATGCTCGCGCTGGCGCCCATGGTTCGTCGCAGCTCCACGTCACGGATCACGGTGGCCAGCCACACTCATCATAATGCTCACCCAGCAACGCGGGAAGCCCTTCAACATTGCACGTTGGACTAGCTATTGAAGGGGGTGCGCACCGAGAATCCCGCCGGGATAAGCTCAGGCAGAGGTATAGCCACGTTGCCCCGCAAGAAACCCCTGCCCGGGTAAGTCCCCCCCCGCCGAGCATGCTCTAAAACGTCGAGGCAGTGTGGTTGCCGTTCCGCATATGCTTCAATGGCGCCATGCGCCAGCTAATCGGCCCACCGCTGTGAGCGACCGCGGATACAAATGGCAATTCCAAGCTTGTTAGCTCGGTCACAGCTCAGGGCAGCTCGATGTCGTCCTCGAAGTCCTCGAAGTCCTCGTCGCCGTAGCCCTCGCTCTCGGCCTCGGACTTGCGGGGGCTGCCGCGGGACCGGCGCGTCGTCGGCGAGGGCGACGGGAGCTTGGGCGACGGCTCGCCGAGGTCGAGGCCGGAGATGTCGAGGCTGTCGTCCTGCGTCGGCGTCGCCGGCGCGCGCACGGCGTCGGCGTCGGGCCGGGGCGACGACTCGAGGGGCTCGAGGTCGTCGTCGGGCGCCGCGCGCGCGTCGTCGAGCGCGGGGATCGCGTCGTCGTCGTCGTCGAGCGCCGGGATGTCCGGCGGCGCCTCGTCGTCGAGCGCCGGGATGTCGTCGTCGAGCGCCGGGATGGCGTCGTCGAGCGCCGGGATGGACTCGTCGAGGCCGCCGCCGTCGCCGTCGCCGAGCGACGGGATCGCGGGGATGTCGCCGTCGTCGTCGTCGTCGAAGAGGTAGTCGCAGGCGTAGTCGCCGTCGGCGCCGTGGGCCGCGTCGCGCGCGTCGAGGAGGACGCCGTGGGCCAGGAGCGCCGCGGCCGCGGCGTCGTCCTCGGCCGCGCACGCCAACGCGTGCGACACGTGGGGCTCGAGCGCGTCGAGCCCGTAGCCCGTGGCGTTGTCGATGGCCACGAGGAGCTTCGTGCGCACGACGTGGCGCAGCTCGCGCTCGAGGGCGTTCGACTCCGGCGACCCGCGCGGCGGCGCGGCGCCGCCGTCGACGACGCGCGTCTTGAGGAGCGCCTCCCAGTAGTTGGGCAGCTCCAAGATGTTGTCGCAGGTGTGGGACTGGGGGATCATGGCGAGCATGCGCCGCTGCTCGTCGACCCCAAAGGGCAGGAACGGCAGCTCGATGGTGAGGAACTCCGTGTGCCGCGCGGGCAGGCGCTCGACGCCCGTGACGAACTTGAGCAGCTTCCGCCGCTGCGCCGCGTCGAGCGGCTCGCAGTGGCGCGCGCCCGGCATGGGCTCCGCCTCGTCCAGGATGTCGCCGTCGCCCAACGAGTCGTCCTCGCCGTCGATGACGGCCCAGAGCGCGTCGTGGAGCGGCCGGCAGTCGCGGAGCTCCGCGTCCATGACGATGCGGAAGACGTCGCGGAACTTGAAGTCGCCGCGGAACTCGGGCGCGCCGCAGACGATGCGCTGCAGGTCCCGCGCCGACGGCCGCACGCTCCGGCGCACGCGCCGCGGCATGGCGCGCTCGAAGCCCCGCCGGAGCGCGCGGAACTGCCACTCGAGCGCGCGGCACCGGCCCGCGGCGGACAGGCGCGCGTAGCCGACGCGCGCGCGGTGGCCCGCCTCGCCCGGCGCGCCGCCCGCCGCCCCGACGAGGTCCGCGGTCGACCAGCCCTCGAGCGCCGCCATGGCGTCGAGCGACGCGTCGTCGAGCTTCAGCGACGCCGCGACGGTCTCCGCGTAGCCGCCGTCGAGCAGCTCGAGGTGGCCCGGCGCCTTGGCGAGGAACGCGTCGACGAGGCCCGGCGCGCGCCGCGGCGAAACGTCCGCGCGGTCCTCGGCGACGCCCAAGACCTCGAAGAAGAGCGGCGGCAGCTCCAGGGGCAGCTGGCACTGGTTCGGCACCGCGGATCCGACGAGGAGCCCGAGCATGGCCAGCTTCCGCGCGTTCGCCGCGGTCCGCGGCAGCGCCGGGTTCAGCCACAGCGCCTCGAGGTCGCCGCGGTGCACGAGCATGGCCTGGCACCGCGCGCGCGGCTCGACGTGGCACCGCTCCAGCGACGCGAAGAAGGCGCCGAGCGCGTCGTCGCCCGAGCCGCCCGCGGCCGCCGCGGCCGCGCGGAGCGCGGTGGAGGACGTGGACACGCGCGCGACGATCTCCGCGCCGTCGCCGTCGAGGAGCCGCTCCACCACTAAATCCAGGGTCCGCGCGGCGCCGTCGCCGTCGTGGTAGTCCACGGCGAGCACGTGGCCCGGCTGGAGCGGCGGCGCCGCGAGCGCCGGCGCGGACCCGGAGCTCGCGCCCGAGTCGCCCGTGCCGTCGCGGAGCGCGCGCGCGACCCAGGGCTGCCCCGCCGCGCCGCTCTCCGCGGCGCCGCGCGACGCGTCGTCGTCGACGACGAGGCGGAGCACGTTGGGCCCGTCGCCCGCGCGCCGCGGCGCCACCCTCAGGCCGTGCTCGAAGCCGCCCGCCGGCGTCCAGTCGCGGCGCGCGGTCGCGCCCAGCAGCGAGAAGAGCTCCTTGCGCGGCCCCAGGCCCTCGCCCTCCTCGACGGCGACGCCCTCGACGTACTTCTGCCCAAAGGGCGCGCGGTAGTAGGGGCAGACGATGAACGACGCGTGGCGCGCGACCTCGATGGCGAGCGCGGACCCCGGCTCGCCGTCCTCGCCCACGGGCCGCTCGCCGCGCGCCTCGACCTCCTCCCCCGAGCCCTCGACGTCCTCGTCGTAGTCGCAGTCGTCGAGGTCCAGGTCGCCGAGGTCGTCGCCGTCGCCGCCGTCGAGCCGCTCGACGACGGCCTTCGCGGCCGCGGCGTCGAGGCACGCCGTGTGCCGCGCGATGAGGTGCTCGCAGTCGCCCCAGACGGAGCCCCGCGCCGTCACCAGATTCAGGCGCCGCGCCGGGCGCCGCGCCAGGGCCACGTACAAGAGCGCGGCCTTGGACGCGGGCCGGAGGAGCGCCGCGTGGTCCCGGAGCGGCGGCAAACCCAAAAGCCCCTCGAGGCGCGACACGCCGCGCGTCTTCGCCGCCGACGCGACCTCCGAGTCCACGAGCATGGGCGTCACCACCGCCAGCGCCTCGTTGACGCTCCGCGCGTGGAACCGCTCCTCGACAGCGCCCCGGAGCGCGTCCAGTAAGGACGCCTCGGACCGCTGCGCCGCGTCCTCGCCGCTCGGCGCGGCCCCCGCGGAGCCGACGTCGCTGCCCGCGCCCAGGTCGCCCGCGGCGCCGTCGCCGCCGTCGTCCGCCGCGCCGTCGTCCGCCGGCGGCGCGGACGCCGCGCGCTCGAAGACCGCGTCGGGCTCCGCGAGGTCGCCGAGGAACGTGGCCCGGTCGCCGCCGCGGTCCGGCGCCACCACCAACGCGTAGGCCCGCTGCAGCAGCCGCGCGGCGACGGCCGCGCGCGAGCTCGCGGCGACGTCGACCGCGCCGACCTGCGCCTCGACGGCGTCCACGGCCTGCGTGAGCGTGAGCTCGCCGCGCTGCTGCTGCGCTAAAACCCAGTCGCGGCACTTGGCGACGCGCGGGACCACGGCCGCGTCGACGGTCCAGCGCAGCGCGCGGAGCGCCGCGCGGAGCGCGCCCCGCGGCGCTCCGTCGTCGCCGACGAGCGCGTCGAGCCACGCGTCCACATCGTCCGCGCCGACGGCGACGAGGGCGTCCGCGGCGCGCGGGAAGAGCGCCGCGGCGTCGCGCGCGGACGGCGCCGCGCGCGCGGCGACGTCGGGCGCCGCGTCCGCCAAGGCGTCGCGCGCGGCGCGCGCGCCGCAGCGCAGCACGGGCTCCCAGGCCGCGCGGAGCGGGCCCGGGTCCGCGGCCCAGCACTCGAGGCTCGCGACGGCCGCGTCGGGCTCCGCCGCGCGGTGGAAGGCCCGCGGCGACGGCTCCGCGTCGCGCGGCGGCGGCGCCGCGTGCGCGGCGCCGTCGCCCGCGGCGGCCGCGGCGTCGCCGCCGGCCGCGCCCCCCCCGAGCGCCGCGTGGTCGAGGCACGCCGACGCCGAGAGCCGCGCCGCGGCGTCGGGCCGCAGCATGGCCCCGAGCAGGTCGAGCCCCGCGTCGCCGAGCTTCGCGAGTAAAGCGCCGCGCTGCGCGGCGCGGAGGCCGACGGCGGGCCCCGCGTCGAGGCAGCGCTTCGGCACGCCGAGCCGCGCGAGGTGCTTCGCCGGCGCCGGCGGCAGCGGGCCCAGCAGGCTCGCGATCTGGCGCAACACGCCGTGCTCCTCGTCGCCCGGGAAGAGGGGCTCGCCCGTCGCGAGCTCGGCCGTGATGCACGCCGCGCCCCAGACGTCGACGCGCAAGCCGTAGGTCGTGCTCGACGCCATCATCTCCGGCGCGCGGTACCAGCGGCTGCCGATGTAGTGCGTGAGCTCGCCCGCCGCCGCCTGGGGCGCGAGCCCCACGCCGTCGGGCCCCAGGTCGCCCTCGAGCTGCCGCGCGGCGCCGAAGTCGCAGAGCTTGAGCTCGCACCGCTGGCCGCCCGGCGCGCCGCTCAGCAGCACGTTCTCGGGCTTGATGTCGCGGTGGACGATGCGGAGCGCGTGGATGTGGGCCAGGGCCGCGCAGAGGTCCCTCGTGAGGGCGAGGCACAGCCCGCGGCCGAACGCGCCGGGCCCGCGGTCCTCCAACGCGTGCAGGGCCGTCATCGCCAGGAGCTCGAAGCAGAGCACGGGCGCGACGACGGCGATGGACCCGGCCACCAAATCCTCCTGCCAGCTGTCCGTGAAGCGCACGACGTTCGCGTGGTCGCCCATGGCCCGCAGCAGCGCGAGCTCGCGCTCCGCGGTGAGCACCGCGTAGCGCGCCATCTCCGCGTCCTCGTCGGCGCCGTCGGCGACGATCTTGAGCTTCTTGACGGCGACGGACGCGCCGGAAGCGCGGTGGCGCCCGCGGTAGACCTCGCCGTAGGCGCCCTCGCCCAGCAGCGCGCCGAACTCGTAGCACGACGCCGCGCCGCGGTGCGGGTTCGTCTCGATGGTCTCGCGCACGGGCGACTCCGCGGCCTCGGCCGAGTCCTCGGCGAAGGCGTCCTCGTCCATGCTGTACTCCTCCGCGTCGTCCTCGTAGTCGTCGCCCGCCTCCTCGACGACGGCGCACTCCTCCTCGACGCCGCCGGCCGCGTCGTCCGACGGCTCCTCGGCGACGGGCTCGTCGAGCGGCTCGTCGGCCGCCGCCTCGGGGGTCTGGGGCCGCGCCGCGGCGGGCTCCGCGAGGACCGGGGGGTCCGCCGCGACGACGACGGGCTCGTCCAAAACGGCGGGCTCGGCCGAGACGGCGACGGGCTCCTCCTCGACCGCGGGCTCGTCGACGACGGGCTCCTCCTCCACCGCGGGCTCGTCGACGGGCTCCTCCTCCACCGCGGGCTCGTCGGCGACGGGCTCGTCCTCCACCGCGGGCTCGTCGGCGACGGGCTCCTCCTCCACCGCGGGCTCGTCGGCGACGGGCTCGTCGAGCGCCGCGGCGGGCTCGGGCGCGTCGTCGAGCGCCGACGCCGACGCGGAGGGCTCGCCGGCCGCGGGCTCGTCGGCGAAGGCGCGCGGGCTCGCGGCGGCCGACGCCGGCGACCGCGTCTCCGGCACGGCCTCCTCCTCGTCGACGATGGAGTCGTCGTCGACCGCGACGGCCGGCGGCGCGTCGCCGGGCGACGTCGCCGGCTCCGCGGCCGCGGGCTCGACCATGGCCTCGCGGACCTTGTCCTCCTCGTCGCCGTCGTCGTAGGTGATGTAGTAGGTGCCGTCGGCGTTGACGCGGGCCACCGTGCCCGGGTAGTACTCGCCCTCCTCGTTGAAGTCCGCGTCGACGCGGTCGCCGACCGCGAAGCGCGCGGCGGCGGCCGCCGCGGGCACCGCGGCCGCCGCGGGCACGGGCGACGGCCCGCGCGGGGCCGCCGCGGGCCGCGGCGACGGCCGCGGCGACTTGGCCTTGGGCGTCTTCGGCGGCGTCTTCGGCGGCGTCGGCCGCGCGTCCGGCGGCGCGCGCGCCGCGGGCGGCGTCCGCGCGCGCGGCGGCGTCCGCGCCGCGGGCCGGCCGCGCGGCACGGGCGTCGGGTCCGCGGCGCCGCCGGTTTCCGCGGCGTCGAAGGCGATGGCCCGGGCCTTGACGGCGCGCGCGCCGCGCGCGCCCGCGCCCGCGGCGCTCGCGGGGCTCTCGACCGCGGGGCCCTCGGGCTCCGCGGCGGCGCCGCCGCGGTCGGGCGTCGCGGCGCGCGAGCCCTCGGAGCCGCGGGAGCCGCGCTTGGCCTTGGGCGGCGCGCGGCGGTAGACGCCGCCGGCGTGCTCGAGCTTCTCCGCCGCGCGCGAGTTCGCGACGGCCCGCGCCGCGCGGTGCCGTTCCGCGGCGGACGCGCGGTGGCGCCGGACGACGTCCAAAATGACGACGGACGCGGCCTGGAGCCGGCCGACGCGGCCCGGCGCGCCGACGCCGTTGATCTCGTCGCGCGTGAGGAGCAGGGGGTTGCCCGGGCAGAAGCAGGCCGCGCGCCACGCCTCGGCGCCGAGCGCGTCCGACACGAAGTCGAGGTCGTCGGCCATTTTTCTGAGGTAGTCCTTTCCATTCCATAAGAAGGCCGCCGGCGCCGCGGCGTCGGCGGACTCGTGGAGCACCCAGGCCACGATCTTCTCGACGCACCGCAGGCCCGCGTGGCGCAGCTCGGCCGCGATGTTCCGCAGGAGCCGCGCGGCTTCCGCGAGCGCGCGCGCGCCCATGTCGCTCGCGGCGGCCTGCGTCGACTTGCGCGGCCAGTGGAGCACGACGGCGTTGAGCTGCATGAGCAGCGTCTCGCGGTAGCCCACGGCCCGCGCCGCGTCGACCTTGAGCTGGTAGGCCCGCTCCTTGGGGCCCGGCGCGCCCTCGCCGGGCAGGGCCACCTTCGCCGGGGGCTTCGGCTGGGCCGGGGCCGCGTGGGGCGGCTTGTGGCGCTTGAACTTGTCGCCGTGCCGCTTAGGCATCTTCACGGGGTCCGACGGGGCGAACCGCATGGCTCCACCGGCGGCCGGGAGCAGCCCCGATGCGCGGTTGGCAGCCCGACTAATAACTCTCGCGGCAACATCCTTTGCTTGATGGTCAATCGTGCCTTTTTTTTAAAAGCCGCGGGGCGGTCCAGCGGGCTCGACAACGCGCACGAGAGCTTCGGCAGCGCGGTCACGCTGGCCCTCTACGGCGGCGACTGGGAGGTGCGCTTTTTGGAATCATCGTTTGTTGAACTTCAACATCAAGATGTGGCCTTTGTTGAACTTCAACATCGGGCATCTTCTCGCTCGAGGGCGGGGTCTGCCTCGTCCCCGCGGGCGCCCGGCGGGCAGGCACATGGAACAAGGTACGCGACCCCCCTCTCTCAGAGGCACGCGCTCCGCGCGGCGTCCGCGCGGTCCGCGACGGCCGCGACGTCCGCGACGCTCACGCAGAGGTAGCTCTCCTCGGCGAGGCCCGCGGCGTGGGCGGCGACGTCGGCGACGGCGCCGCCGCAGGCCGCGCGCGCCTCGGCGCCGCGGTCGCGGTCGTCCGCGGCCGCGCGCGCGGCCGCGGCGAGCCTGCGCGCGGCGGCCGCCGCGCGGCGGTCGCGCTTGCGCGCGCCGCCCGCGGCGACGTGCACGGCGCCGCCGAGGGCGGCGAGGGCGGCGACGAGGAGCGCGACGAGGAGCGCCGCGCGGCGCTCCGAGCGCCGCGCGGCTTTCGCCTCCGCGTCCGCGCGGCGGACCTCGCGGTCCGCGCGGTCCGCCTCCTCGGCGGCGCGGCCCTCGGCGCGGCGCGCATGGGCCTTGGCCTCGGCGACGGCCGCCGCGACGCGGTCGTCGGTCTCCGCGGCGCACGCGGCGCGTAATTCCGCGACGCGCATCGCGTACGTCGACCGCGCGTTGATGAGCTCCGTCTTCGTCGCCTCGGCGGCGCGCGCCGCGGCGAGGGCCTCGGCCTCGGCGGCGTCCACCGCCGCGCGGCCCCGCCGGATCTCCTGCTGCTGGGCCTCGACGGTCTGCTCGAGGGCCCGCGCGTAGCAGGCCGGGTCGCCCCGCAGGGCTTTCGTGTCGCGCTCGGGCGAGACGGCCGGCGGCGCGAGGTCGCCGGCGGGCTCGCGGAGGGCGAGGTCGCCGTCGGCGCCGCGCAGGACGAGCTCCGTGGACACGAGGGCCATCCTCGAGGGTCGATCGAGTCTCGGCCGCCCTGGAACGATCCTGGAATCGGCATCTATTACGATGCAAGTTGAGGTGCAACGCACGTGGGCGTTTTTTTCCTATTACTTAGTAACCGGCAATTTTCTGTTAAAGCCGCGCGCTGTTCGGCGCCGCGGGCCGCTCGCGCCGCGGCGGCGCGGCGCGCGACGCGGACGACGGGCGGCTCGGCGCCGCGGCGTCCGGCGGCGCGTCGAGCTTCCGGACGACGGCGCACCAGTCGTAGGGCCGCGGCTCCGCGCGCGGGATGCGGACGTCGTTGAGCTCCGTGTCCCAGGGGTAGAAGACGCGGTCGACGCGCTCGACCTCGACGTCGTGGGGCGCCGCGAAGACGAAGTCGCGGAGGGCCGCGAGCGTGTAGCACTGCGTGCGCACGCCCCAGCGCTTCCACACCGAGTTCGCGACGTCGACGGCGTCGAGCGTCCGGAAGTCGTTCCGGCGGTCCGAGGGGCCCAGCTTCTTCTTCTTCGCTCGGTATTTCGCGTAGGTGTTCGCGACCATGCGCGCGCTCTCGTTCGACGGCACGAGCAGCACGAGGTAGCCGCCGGGCCGCAGCGCGTCGAGCGTCGTCGCCAGGATCTTCCCGCAGGTGCCGAGGTCCGGCGCGATGAGCACGTTCGCGGACACGCAGAGGTGCGCCGCGGGGAACGCCGCGAGCGACTCGCGCCTCGTCAGATCCGCGACGGCGAACGCGCAGGGCGGCGCGCCGTCGTAGTCCCGCCGGGCGCAGTCGAGCAGCTTCGGCGACACGTCGACGGCCGTCAGGTCGTCGCAGCAGCCCGCGAGGAAGGGCAGCCACTTGCCGACGCCGCAGCCCGCGTCGAGGCCGACGAGCACGCCGCCGGGCTCCAGTTCCCTCCGGAGCTTCCGCGCGCACTCGCGGACGCGCTTGCGCAGGACCTTCGTGACGTCCTCGGCGAGCGTGTCCATGATCTCCTCGTCGTAGTCGTCGGCGACGTCGTCCCAGTACTGGGGGTTCGTCGCGCCGCCGACCATCATCTGGTCCGCGCCCTCGCCGCGGCCGGCCGGAACGGGCGGCGGCGGCGGCGCGGGCTTGGGCTCGCTACCGCGGCCCCGGCGCTCCGCGGGCTTGGCCGGCGCGGAGATGGGCCGCGGCGCCTTGAGGCGCTTGCTCTGCGACGAGTACTTTGGGAGCTCGGGCTCGTTCTCCTTCTCGCGCGACGGCCGCCTTCTCGCGGCGGGAGCGGCCGCGCGGCCGGACGCGGCCGCCGCGGGCGTCGCCAGGGCCCACTTCTTCGGCCGCGGCGGCTTCGGCGCGCTCGTTGGTGTTGTTTTCTTCCGGGGCCTCCGACACCGAGACGCGGAGTCGCGCTCGCGCCGGAGCTCCCGCAGCTTCCCCTCCGCGGCGGTCTGCGCGCGCAGGCGCGCGCCCCGCGGCATGGCCGCGCCCTCCTCGCGCCGCGCGGCCTCGACGAGCACCTCGTGGCGGTGGCGCCGCGGCGCCAGGGGCTCCGGCGGCGGCAGGGCCCGCCAGGACTCGCGCTCGCCGCCGACGACGCGCAGCAGGTCGTCGGTTTTTGGGGGTGCAGCGTCCCGGGCCCAGGTGTTGTTCGAGGATAATCGCAGGGCCAAGTCGCCGCCGCCGCGCCAGGCGCTCAGCTGACGGCCGGACCAGACCATGGGGGGCAGCTAGCCGACACGGCAACGTCCACTGCTCCATTGACGTTCGACGCGAGTTGAGGGCCGACAAGACGAGCTTGGGGGATCAACGCAGAGCATGTCCAGCACGCCCACCAAGGCCATCAAGATCCCCGGGTCCGAGTGCGAGGAGCGCAAGTCCCCGAAAGCGCCCCGCACGCCGTCCCAGGAGGCCCGCGACGCGACGGCCGAGATCCTGTCCTCGTACACATCCGGCGCCCCTCCCGACACTCGAATCTTGGCGGGAGAACGAAACCCCACCCCGAACCGCGAACCCCGCCCCCGACCCCCGAACTCCGGCAGGTCCCCGAGCAAGCGCGCGGCGCCGTCGTCCGACGCCGGCAAGTCGCCCAAGAGCCCCAAGGTCGCGAGCGAGGCGCCGAAAGCCGTGCGGAGCCCCAAGCCCTTCAGCCTCTAGAACATGTCGTCCATGGGCGCGCGGCGCCAGCTCGCCGAGGCGACGCGCTGCGCGGACCTGGCGCTCAAGGTGCTCAAGCGGTTCCGCGTCGACAACGCGCCGGGCATGAAGTACATTGAGGCGCGCGAGTACTACGACCGCGCCGCGCGGGCCTTCGCCGCCGCGGGCAAGCCCGAGTACTGCGCCGACGCCTTCGACAAGTGCGCGGACATGTCCGCGCGGCTCTCGCGCGGCGCCACTTTAGAGGCCGTCTACTTCCACGTCCGCTGCGGCGAGCTGCTCGAGGAGAACGACCCGACGGAGGCCTGCGAGCACTACGCGGACGCCTGCGACGGCTGCTGCGACCTGGGCGAGTGGGGCACGGCGGCGGAGCTGCGCTACCGCATCGCGCACCTCACGGAGTACGCCGACGACGCCGTGGGCCAGGACGAGCGCGTGCTCGCGCTCCGCGGCGCCGCGGACATGTACGGCGCGGCCGCGCAGCGTCTGAACGACGAGACGAAGCACTGCCGGCGCCGCGAGTGCACGCTCGAGGCCGCGCGCATCGAGGCGCTGGAGCTCGAGCGCTACGACAAGGCCGCGGACGTCTTCGAGAAGGTCGCGACGGAGTGCCTCCAGGACAACCTGCTCCAGGCGAACGCGACGCGCCTCTTCTTCAAGAGCGCGCTCTGCTCCCTCGTCGCCGGCGAGAACGACCTCGTGCGGGGCAAGCTCGAGATCTTCGGCGACCGGTTCCTCGAGTTCGGCGCGTCGCCCGAGCGCCAGTTCCTCCTCGACGTCAACGCGTGCATCCAGCGGGAGCCGCTGGGCGACTACGACGGCTTCTGCGACGCCTGCTACAACTTCAACACGGTCCGCGAGCTCGACGTCTGGGACCTCAAGATGCTCAAGGTCCTCGACGACCGCATGAAGGACGAGTACGAGACGCACCTCTACGAGGAGGAGCGGCGCCGCGCGCGCCGCGCGCGCAAGGAGAAGAAGGCCCTCGAGGAGAAGGAGCGGCAGAAGCGCATCGCGCGCGACGAGGAGCGCCGCGTCAGGGACAAGCAGTCCACGGACTTCCTCTGAGCGGGCGCGCGACGAGGAGCACCCCCTCGCTGTGTTGCGCAGGACGAGCCGTCCACGTGCGCGGCCAACCCCTCGCTGCCCACGTGCGCGTCGCACCCTCCTCGCTGTCCCATTGTTCACCGCGCGCGCTGTTAATCGCCGCATTGTTGTGCGTGTGCGTCGGGGCGGGAGGGGGGGTAAAAAAGGGCGGGAGCCTAGAGCGCGGCGAGCTTCGCCTCCATCTCGGCCTGCCAGCGCTCGAACTCGGAGAGGTGCTCCGGCGCGGGCTCGTCGGCCGCGGCGGCGTTCTCGCCGTTGTTGGCCGGCGGCGCGGGGCTCTTGGCGGGCTCCGCGCGGGGCTTGGCGGGTGCGCCGTTGGGGCCGTTGGACCGGCCGAGCGGCCGCGAGGGCGAGTCGCGGCCGCGCGCGGCGCGGCCCGCGCCCTTGGGCGTCGCGTCGCGGCCCCGCGTCGGCGGCGGCGGCGGCGGGGTGGCGCCGCGGCCCGGCGCGGGCGACGGCGCGCGCCGGGGCGCCGGGCTCGGCGCGCGCGCGGGCGACGCGCCGCGCGCGGACCGCGCGGGCGACGCGGACCGCGAGTTGTGCCCGCCGGCCCCAAAGGTCGGCGCGGACCCGCCGACGGCGCGGGGCCGCTTGTCGCGCTCCTCGCGCGCGCGTTTCTCCGCCGCGAGGCGCGCGGGGTTGACGCCGCGCGGCGGCTTCGAGAGCTCGTCGAGGCGCCGCGGGTCGAGCTTCTCCGCGACGGGCACGGCCTTCTCTTTTCGCTCCGCCAGGTCCTCGGCGCGCGCGCGGCGCCGGCGCTCGACCGACGCCTCGCGGCGCCGCGCGACCTCGCGGTCCATGCGCGCGAGAACGTCGCCGCCGCGCGAAGAAGCCGCCGAGCCCGCGACGGAGGTCGCGTCGTCGTCCGCGGGCGGCCGCCCGATCTCGGGCCGGAACGTGCAGCCCTCGAGCTCGCGCTCCGCCGCGAGCAGCGCGCGCGCCTCGGCCGCGACGGCGCGGTCGCCCGCGACGAGCCGGAGGTGCGCGGGCCGCGGGTCCGATATCGCGGGCTCGCGGCCCACGACGGGCGCGAAGGTGCAGCCCTCGAGCTCCCGCGCCGTTTTGAGTGCTTCCTGCATCCTGCGCACCTCCCGGCGGTCGTCGAGGACGCGCGCCTCCGACGGCGCCTGCTCGCGCGCGCGCCGGGGCAGCGCGGGCTCGAAGCTGCACTGGCTCAGCTCCAAATCACGATAAGCCTCGCGCAGGTCGCGCTCCTTGGCCTCCTTGGCCCTGCCCTCGTCGTAGAGGCGCTCGTGGCAGGGCGCGGGCGACGCGTCGCGCCGCGGCGTCGCGCGGCGCGGGATCGCGGGCGCGAACGAGTAGCGCGCCATCTCCGCCTGCAGCGCCGCCTCGCGCGCCGCGGCCTGCTTGGAAGCCGTCGACGTGCCCGCGAGCCGGTCGAAGGCCGAGTCGTCGGGGTCGCGGCCGTGGTCGACGCTCTCGCAGCCCTCGGAGTCGCGGCCGCGGCGCGTGATTTTGGGCCGGAAGGGCGCGTCGCGTTTCAGCGACGCCTCCTTGGCCTCGCGCTTGCACCGCAGCTTGTCCAGGCGGTCCCGCTCGAAGGCCGCGGACCGCTGGGCCACGGCCTCGGCGCCGCGCGCGGCCGACGGCGACCGCTCGCGGAGCCGCGTCGCGGACTCGGACCGGCCGCGGCCGCGCCGGGAGATCTTGGGCGTGAAGGAGCAGGCGTCGACCTCCTGCTGGAGCCGCGCCTCGCGCTGGCGCACCTTGTTCTCGCGGCTCGCCGCCGCGGCCGCGTGGAGCCGGTCGTGGGCCTTGGCGCCGCCGGGCGACGCGGACCGCGCGCGGCGCCCTTGGGACGGCAGCGCGGGCGCGAAGGTGCAGCCACTGGGCCGCTCGTGCTCCGCGGCGCGCTGCGCCTCGAGGCGGTCCGCCAGCGCGCCCGCGTGGGCGTACAACGCGTCCGCGCGGGCCTGCTGCCGCTCGCCGCGCGTCGCGGATCCGTCGGCCGTCGACGACCGGCGGCCGCGCGGCGTGATCTGCGGCGCGTGGCCGGACTTCTCCAGGCGCGTCTTCGCCGCGGCGGCCCGGGCGCGCGCGTCGCGGCGCCGCGCGGCGTCGCCGTAGAGCCGCTCGCGCGTCGCGTCCGCGGCCTCGGCGGCCACGGGCCGCGCGCCGTTGACGCCGATCTTCGGGCGGAACGTGCAGTCGCCGGGCACCTCCGCGCGGCGCTTCTCGAGGCGCCCGCGCATCTCCGCGGCGCGCTCGTAGAGGCGGCTCGCGGCGGCGGCGTCGCTCGTGCGCCGCGCGGGCGTCGACGACGCCGCGGGCGCGCCGCGGCGCGGCGTCGCGCCCCCCGGCGACGCGGACCGCGCGGGCGCCTTCCGCGCGCTCTGGGGCCGCGGCGACGGCGCGCGGGCCTTGGTTTGCGGCGGCGCGCGCGCGCTCTGGGGCCGCGGCGACGGCGCGCGGGCCTTGGGCGGCGTCGGCGCGGCCTTGGCCGGCTTGGGCTTGGGCTCGGGTTCCGGCGCGGGCGGCGGCGCCGCGGGCGCGGACGCGGCCGGCGGCGGCGGCGGCGGCGCTTCGCTTCTGGGCGCCAGTGGTGCCGGCGCCGGTGGCGCCGGCGCCGGCGCCGGCGGCGCCGCGGGCGCCTCCTCCTCGGGCTCGGGCGCGATCTCGAGCGGCTCGTCCGTAGAGATGGAACTGCGCGTCAGCGACGCGCTCCGCGCCATGACGGCCTTGATCTTCGCCTCGAGGTCGTCGAGCGGCATGGTGCGGTCGCTCTCGAGGACGCGGGCCCTCGCGACGCGCCGCCTGGCGGGCACGTTGGCAGCTCTGCCGCCGATCACCGCTTGGCCGATGCCCGCAAAAATCGATTTGCCACACTTTTTGGTCCGTTCGCCGATCGGCCAAAGCCCCGAGACGACGCCGGAGTCTGGCGGAGCATTCAAGCGCCGCGCCTGTACAGCTGCGTCGCGCCGCGCCCGCGCAAACTCGCGCGCGCCGAACAGATCGTCAACACCACCGCACCGCAACGATGCGCGCCGCCGTCGTCCTGCTCGCCTGCGCCGTCGCGGTCGCGTCGGCCACGCCGCCCGCCACCGACTACGCCGCCAAGCTGCGGTCGCTGGGCTACCGCGCCTCGGAGATCGCCGAGATCCGCCCGTCCGTCGCGCGCGTCGTCGCGCACCGCGGCCTGCCGCGGCCGCGCGCGGGCATGCCCGAGAGCTGGCGCGAGGTGGACCAGTCGGCGCCGAAGCCGAACCCCTTCGCCGGCCTCGTCGCCCGCGCGAAGGCGCTCGGCGCGGCCGCGGCGTCCCTGTTCCGCAAGGCCGCCGTGCCCGTCGCCGTCGTCGTGGCCGGGGCCAAGCTCTCCGACGCCGTCGAGGCCGCCAAGCTCGCCGCGCCGGCGCGCGCGCCGCGGCCCGCGCCGGTCCGCGCGCCGCGGCCGCCGCCGGCCAAGCGGCCGCGGCCGGCCAAGGGCGACGACTGCGGCTACCTCTTCGACGGGCCCAACGAGCGGTTCCCCCGCTTCGCGTAAGCGCCCGTGAAAGCAGCGTTAGGCGCTCGCGGCGGCCGCGGCGTTCGCCTCCGCGAGCTCCTTCTTCTTCTTCCGCGTCGCGCGGCCCCAGGAGACGACGACGAGGCGCGTGACCCTGCGAGCGACGAAGCGTCACGCAGGAAACATCAAAAGAGGGACGCCGGCGAGCCGCGCTGGTTCATGAGCGTCAGCCCCAGCGACCGGCGCCACTCCGGGAGCTCGGAGAGCATCTTCTCCGTGACGTCGATGACGGGCTGCATGAGCTCGTCCGGGAGGCCGTCCTTGGACACGGCGTCGCCCATGAGCCGCGCGAAGTGGTTGCAGTTCTTGTCGAAGACGTTGTAGTCCTCGGGCTGCCACTGCGCGTTGAGCTCGTCGCTCGCGACCCACGCGGCGACCTCGGCCTCGGTCATCGTCGGCGGGCCGAGGTCGAAGGTGACCTGGGGGAAGGACTCGAGCATCTCCGCCATGACGGCCACGGGCCGCGACTCGATGCAGTCGCTGTAGAAGTACTCGGTGCCGTAGACGCGCACGCCGACGTGCGGGATCATCGGCAGCTCCTTGCTGCACGTCGTCGACAGCACCTGCGTCAGCCCGCCGCCGATGTCGTAGACCGTGCACTTGACCGTGTCGCCTACGGTGCTTCTGTGAACCGCGTGTTTTGTTTCGAGGGACGCGGCGGTCCCGACTCGACTCGTCGACGTCGTCGAAGGCGTCGCGGCCCCAGAGCGGCTGGGCGAAGGGCGCCGTCGCGCGCAGCGATACTTCGGTGCGTCGCGGCGCGGCCGTTGGCGTCTGGAAGGCGCGCACCGTCGACGCCATCGCAAGGGCGGCGAGCATCTTTCGCAGCAGATCCATCGGCTCAGTGGCTCGTGCGGCAACCAAGCTTGGCCAAGGTGCTCGCTGAGGCGTTGCAGCCGACGATGAGGCTGCCCGGCTCTCATATGGCAAAGAAGGAATGGTGAGCTCATGGCGCGCGCCTGGCTCGAGCCGCTCGACGACGACTGCGTCTCGGCCGTGCTGGCCTTCGCGAACGGCCTGTCGGCGCCGGCGTGCGCGGCGACCTGCCGCGGCGGGCGGGCGGCCGTCGCGGCCCTCGACGACGGCGTCTGGGGCGGCATCGTGAGGCACCACTTCGGCGCCGCGCTCTGGCGGCGCGCGTCGGCGCCGCACGCCTGCGCGAGCTGGGCCCGGCTCTGGCGGTCGCTCACGCGGCGGAGCTGCGACTGCGGCTGCGGGTTGGCCGTCGCGCCGTGCCACCCGCTCCAGCTCTCTACGACGGCGACGGACCACGCGCGGAGCTTCGACGCCGTGCGCTGCCGCGCGAAGGCGCGCTTCGACGGCGACGCGGCCTGGGCGCACGCGCCGCTCCGGAAGCACCCGCGGGCGCTGATGGCCGTCGAGTCGTGGACTCGAACGGTACGCGGCGCGCCGACCGCGGCGCTCCGCCTCACCTTCGACTTCTCCGCGGCGCGGGTCGAGGGCGCGGGCGTCGTCGGCGCCGCGGGCACCGTGCGCTGGTTCTCCGCGGTCGGCCCGTGGCAGCTGTCCTTCGCGCTGAACCCGCAGACGACGTCGGCCGAGGGCGAGCCGTCGCGGTGGCCCGTCGTCGACGTCTGGCTCGCCAAGTTCGAGGAGCGGCGCGGCGCGGCGGCGACGACGGCGAGCTCCGACGCGGAACCGACGGCGCTGCGGCTCGGGTCCTACTACGACGCGGGCTGCGCGGACTTTTACCCGAAGCAGCCCAAGACGGGCCGCCGCGTCGCGCCGCTCGACGAGCTCCGCAGCTACGCGCGGGACCCCAAACGGTTCCGGGAGACCGCGGCCGCGCGCCTCGCGGAGCTCCGGTACCGCGTCGACGACGCGTCCGGCGGCAACGCGGCCGCGCTCGCGCGGATCGACGCCATGGCGGCCGCCGCGGACGGGCGCGGGGACGCGTTCCACGCCGCGCTCGTCGACGCGCTCCGCGTCTGCTGCCCCGACGCGCTCCCGGGGTAACATGGTTCTGTGGCTACGAAGCGGTCACTCGTGCGCCGCGGGCGGCAGATCGTCCTCCGACTCGGGCGCGTCCGGCGAAGTGTCCGGCGGGTCCCGCAGGGGCGGCAGCCGCGCGCGCGCGGGCGCCGGCGCGGCGAGGAGCTGGTGCCCGTGGAGCCCGAGGACGTCGCGCGGCGCCGGCGCCGGCGGTGGCGCCGCCCCTCGTGGCGGCGCGCTCGCGGGCGCCGGCGCGGTCGCGCGCGCGGCCGAGGCCGCGGCCCGCGTCGCCGCGTTCGCGGCCGCCGCGGCGGCGGCCGCCGCGGGCTCGGCGTAGGCGTCGCGGGGCGCGTCGGCCGCGTCGCGCGCGGCCTCCTCCTCGTCCGTCGGGAGCTCCGCGCGGCAGACGGGGCACGTTCGCTGCTCCGAGAGCCACGTGTTGATGGCCTCCTCGCCGAAGACGTGGCCGCAGGGGAGCCGCATGGCCCGGTCGCCGGGCACGAAGGCCTCCTTGTGGATGGCGCACTCCCAGCCCGCGGCGATCTCCGCGTCGCCGCAGTCGACGACGTCGCAGAGCCGCGCGAGCGCTCTTTTCGACGCGGGCTTGGGCCGCGCCTGGTCCGCGTTGACGAGCTGCTCGATGACGTCGCTCAGGTTGCCCACGGCGTAGTCGCCGAGGGCGATGCCGCCGCCGCCGGCGCCGATGGTCGTCGCGAAGAGCGGCCGCATCGCGCCCAGGACCTGGACGTTCGCCTCGCCGCCGCCGGACGCCTGGCCGCCCGCGAGCACCTGGCTCAGGATCTGCTGGATCGCGCCGGCGACGAGCTCGCCGGGCGGCTCGCCGGTCGTCGGCGCCGCGCCGGCGGGCGCGGGCGCGGGCGCGCCGGCCGGCGCCGCCGCGGCGGGCGCGGGCGCGGGCGCCAAGAAGTCCGAGAGGCCCCGGTCGTCGCTCGCCGGATTCACCTCCACGAAGGTGCCCGAGCACCGCATGCACTCGACCTCGCAGGTCTCCTCGTCGACGCGCGTGCGCACGGAGGCGGCGCAGGTGTGGCACCAGCCCATGATCGGCTCGCAGGGCTCGTCGTCCTCCGTCGAGCTGCCGGCGTCGGCTGCGTCGAGCCGCTCCGCGACGACCTCCGACGCGTCGAGGAGCGGGGGCAGCTCCTCCATGATCACCTCCGCCTCGCGTCCTGCGAGGGCGTCCAGCATGGCGCCCAGCTCCGCGCCGGCGGCGGCGGAGTAGCACTCCGGTGAGCACCAGCACCTGTGTTAATTTTGTTGGCCGGGGGTCGACGGAAGCGCGCCCGAGGACCCCGCGCGGGTAGCGATCATGTGCGCCATTACGCGGCGGGAAGGAGCTTTTTGGGGGGGGGGGGATCGAAAGGGGGCGCCGCGCGGCGGGAATGTGCGATGGGGCGCCGCGCGGGCGCGCCGCGCGCGGCCCGCGGGCGCGCGCGCGCCTAGTCGTCGAGCTGCGGGCACCAGTCCTTCATCATCGCGGGCATCTCCTCCTTGTCCTCCTCGTAGTTGTCGAAGTTGGACGCGTCGGCGTCGTCGGCGACCTTGACCTCGATGGGCGGCTTGATCTTCTTCGTGACGAGGTCCTCCCAGCCGAAGCCGGAGAAGAAGCGGTGCTTCTTGATGGCGCCGCAGCCGCCCTTGCCGTTGCCGAGGCGCTTCGACTGGCAGAGCTTGAGGAGCTTGCGGACGATGTCGTTGAGGTACTTGCCGAAGTGGGACGGGAACGACATGGACCCCGACAGGATCTTCTCGTAGACCTCCATGGGGTCGTCCGCGTAGAAGGGGGGCACGCCCGCGACGAGCTCGTACATGAGGACGCCGAGCGCCCAGTAGTCGACGGCCTTGTCGTGGCCCTCGTTGAGGATGATCTCCGGCGCGAGGTAGTCGGGCGTGCCGCAGAGCGTCCACGTCTTCCCGTGGACGACCTTGGCGAGGCCCAGGTCGACGATCTTCAGGTAGCCCTCCTTGTCCAGCACCAGATTCTCGGGCTTGAGGTCGCGGTAGGCGATCTTCTTGCTGTGCATGTGCTCGAAGCCGAGGACGACGCCCGCGGCGTAGATCTTCATCGTCGGCTCCGAGAACCGCTGGTGCTTCCGGAGGAAGGTGAAGAGCTCGCCGCCGATGAGCAGCTCGAGGAGGAAGTAGATGAAGTAGTCGTCCTGGAAGGCGCAGATGAGCTTCAGGATGAAGGGGTGGTCGAGCTGCATCAAGATCTCGCGCTCCATGAGCACGTGGTCCTGCAAATTGTTGTCGATGATCGCGGCCTTGGCCTGCGACTTGAGCGCGTAGGCGATGCCGCTCTTCGTCTCCTTGACGAGCTTGACGCGGCCGAAGGCGCCGTGGCCCAGCGTCTTGATGACCGTGATCTGCTCCATGCCGAGGCGCTCGGCCTTGCGCTTCGACGTGTCCACGGCCTCCTCCTTGTTCGAGCCGTTCTTGATGAGCTCCTCGATGGAGCCCAAAAGCGCGACGAAGTCCTCGCGGTCCACGGCGAGCACCTTCGTCGCCGAGCCCTTGGCCGTGCACGTCGCCGCGCGCTTCTCGTCCGACACGAGCGCGCGGTCCCCAAAGTAGTCGCCCTTCTTGAGGGACGCGACCTTGCCCGCCTTGGCCGTGCTCACCTCGACCTCGCCGTTGGCGATGATGTAGAAGGTGTGGCCGTCCTCGCCCTCCTTGATGATGTCGACGCCGTCGTCGACGTCCTCCTCGTCCATGCAGTCCGCGAGCTTCGTGAGCTGGTCGTCGGTGATGCACTCCCGCAGGAACGCACTCTTGCCGTCGGCCGTCTCCGGCGCCTTCTTCTTGTTCAGCTCGATCTCCATGAGCAGCGCCTTGTACTGCTCACTCCGCGCCTTCGCGTGGTTCGCGAGCACGAGGCGGAACCGCTCGCGGTCGATCTTCCACGCGATGATGTCCGTCTTCGCGAGCACGGTAGCCGCCCGGGGCGTGTTGTACATCAAAGCGAGCTCGCCGAAGCCCTTGCCGGACCCGCAGGCGCCCACGGCCTTCTTGTTGCCCTCGATGTAGAACTCGACCGTGCCCATCTCCATGACGAAGAAGTCGTCGCCGCGGTCGCCCTGCTTGATGATCGTCGTGCCCTTGCCGTACTTGACGGCCTCGAAGCTGTCGAGGAGCTCCTCCTTCTCCGGGGCCTGCGGGGCGCGCGCGCGCCGTCTTCCGCGGCGCGGTCGCGCCGAGGGACCCGGCGGAACGCGCGCGGCAGCGCTTGAAGAGCGAGTTCGACGTCATGGCCTGGCGGATGAGCTTCTTGACGGCGTCGGTCTTGGCGACGACCTTCTTCGTGTAGTTGCCGAAGTTGATGCTGTCGCCGCAGATGCGCTTGTGGTCGTGCTTCGCGTTGACGCACGTGAGCGCGAGCTGCGGGGGAGGTGTCGTCGGATCGACCAAACCAGCGGTTGCGCGAGGCGCCGGGCGCGCGCCTGCCGCAGGCGCTTGATCTCGTCGCGCAGCTCCTGCTCGCTCATGTTGGCGCACGACGACCACTCGTCCCCCGTGTGGATCTCGAAGGCCGAGTGGATCTGCGGAGGGGGCAGCGGACGTCGGCCTCCCCGGTCCCCGGCCGGCCCCGGTGATCGGCGCCGCGATTTACCTTCTGCTTCATCTCCGCGGGCACGGACGCGCCTCCGCCCATGGTTACGGCCGCTCCTCTTTAGCTGCCCAGCGGCGGGGACGCGTTGTCCACCCAGGCGCGGATACAAAATAAAACTGATCGCGAGCGGGGGAAGGTGATGTCATACATTGTCATGTTGACGAGGTGTTGCCCCCGTCGTCTACCCGCTCGACTTCCTGCGCACGCAGTTCGTGCTCTGCAAGAACCCCGACGGCACGCCGCGCTACGAGACGCTCGCCGACGTCTTCGACGACCTCGTGGCGAAACCGGCCGACCTCCCGACGCTCTACTCGGGCTTCGCCGTCTCCGTCGCGGGCATCGTGCCCTTCCGCGCGATCTACTTCACGGTCAACGACACGCTCGTGTCCATCAACCCCTACCAGCAGGACAAGGGCGTCGTCGGCCTCCTCTCCAAGTTCTGCTGCGCCCAGGCCGCCGCCCTTAGCGCGGCCTACGCGTCCTACCCCCTGGACACCGTGCGCCGGCGCCTCCAGGCCGACGCGCGGCGGCCGCCGGGCGAGCGCCGCTACAAGGGCACCCTCGACTGCCTCACGAAGATCTACCGCGTCGAGGGCGTCGGCGCGCTCTTCAAGGGCGCGGGCTACAACGCGCTCCGCACGATCACGGCCGCGCTCTCGCTCGTCGTCTACGGCGAGGCGACGAAGAAGAAGAAGCGCGGGTGAATAAAATAAGTCCTAGCGCACGTCCATGGCGTCGTCGGGCCGCCGCGGGCTCGCGGCCGCGTCGCACGCGAAGCAGAAGACGCGCTCGTAGCGCGCGGCGTAGTTCGTCGTCGCGCAGGTGCCGCAGAAGGCGCCGCCGCAGCCCTCGCAGGACCGCGCGCAGGACGCGCAGGTCGCGCGCTCGCAGTGCGCGCACGCGGTCGCGGCGGCCGACGTCCGCGCGCACGTCGCGCACGTCGCCGCGAAGAGCACGGCGGGCGCGGCGGCGGCGGACTGCACCGACGCGCCGCGGGGGCATTTCAGGGCGTCGAAGGCGTTGCGCTGGCCCGGCGACAGGCCCGGCGACCGCAGGCCCGCGCCGCGCATGAGCGGCGTCAGCGACGACACGCCCGGGTGCGCCCGCTTCGCGGGAATCATGTCGACGTCGTCGTCGCGCTGCTTGCGCTTCGGCGTCGGCGCGTAGGCGGCGTTGTACGAACTGCCGAAGTTGAAGCCCTCCATCGCGCGCGGGACTAGCAGCGCGTCGACATTTTGAACTCCATGCTCTCCTTGCGATGCTCTCCGAGTCGGGCCGAAGCGCGATGCGCGCCGCCCCGCGACGTCGTCCCGACGCGTCCTCGGACGCCTCCTCGGGCGGGCACGCGGCGGCTTAGGGGGCGTCCCCCCTGCCTAGGCCCCCTGCTTCGTGATGGCGTTCTTGTCGACGTCGAAGGTCAGCTCGAGGCCCTTGTTCGCGGCCTGGACGCCGCGGAGCTTCGACGTCAGCGCGTCCATGTCGTGGCCCCGGGGCACGTGGACGGCCGCCTCCATGTGGAACATGACGACGCCGTCGCGCACGGACGTGAACGTCTCCATCTTCGGGATCTTGCAGCCCTCGACGCCGAGCAGCTGCGTCACGGCCATGATGAGGCCCGGCCGCTGCGGGCACTCGATGACGAGCCGCCGCTCGACGGGGCCGAGGCCCAGGTAGGCCTGGAGGCTCGCCTGTGGCGTCCTCGAGTGACCGAAAAGCAACGCGCGCGCTCGCAAACGTCGACGTCGCGCGTCGACCGAGACGAACCTCGCGCGCTCGCGAAGCGTCAAAAAGCTTCGACGCCGGGCGCGCGCGTGGTCCAGCGGCTTCACGCGGACCTCGGAGGACGCCCCCAGCGCGCGGCGCACCTCGTCGGAGATGGCCTCGGCGTGGCCCTCGCCGTCCGGGTGGAACGCGTGGAGCACCATCGCGTACTCGGTGCCCAGCGCGACCTTTTGCGTCGCCGCGATGGACACGCCCGCCTCGGCGAGGATGCCCGCGACGTCCTTGAGGATGCCCGTGCGGTGGACGCCGTGCGTTTTGATGACGTATTGGGGGACCTTTGGGGGGAATTTTCACGTAACATTTTTTCAAGCGACGCTGTTGTGACATCGCCGACGTTCATCGATGACAGGCAGGCACGGGGCCCGGCGAGTCGCAGAGCCTTAGCGGCGCGCGGCGCGGCGCGGGCGAGGCGCGCGAGCATGGTGATCTCGCTCGTGCAACGCGAGCTTCACTCGGAGCGTCCGTGAGAGCGCGGATCTTGCTTGTGGCGATTCCTCAGGCTCAGAGCCCTCGGTGCGCCATGTTCTCACTCGGCCGCGTCGCGCGACGTCTCGGGAACCGCTTCGGTCACCGCTGGACCCATTCGGAGCAGGTCATCCCTTTGAAGCCGGGCGCTATCCCCCAATACATTGTCAAGTGCCACGGCACGCACCGCCAGGGCCTGGTAAAGGACGTCTCCACCATCATTGCATCGCGCGGCGCGAGCGTCGCCGCGCTGCAGAAGGTCGGCCTCGGGACCGAGTACGTCATGCTCATGCACGTCTATTCCGTCGACGGCGGCGGCTACGACGAGGTGCTCGCGACGGACCTCCGCCGCGCGATCGGCATGTCGTCGACGGTCCACATCGCGCCGTTGGACAACGCGAGCCGGAAGATGTACGAGACGACCGAGTCGTCCTGGCAGCTCGTCTTCGAGTGCCCGCAGCGGCCGGGTCTGGTCTTTGAGATGGCGACGGCCCTCGCGGACTACGGCGCGATGCTACCGAAGATCGAGACTCGCACGGTCACCCGCGACGGAACCGTCTTCTTCCGCCTCACGGGCATCGTCGAGGCGCTCGCCTCGCGCGACGCGCAGGCGCTCCGCACCAAGCTCGAAGCCATGCACCCGACGGCGGACGTCCTCCTCGAGGAGACGACGAACGCGATGGTCTTCGAGTGACGAAACGGCGCTCGGGCATCGTATAGACGGGAGGAGCAGCTTCAACTATCGCTACTAGTAGAGCTCCTAAGACGAGAAGTCAAAACTGTCCAGGAGCTAGAGCTCGCCCTCGGCGGCGGCGAGCCGTCGCTTCGCGGGCTCGCTGCCGAGCGCCGCCGCACGCCGGAGCCACGCGTCCGCGGCCTCGTCGTCGCCGAGGCGCGCGAAGGCCTTGCTCGCGGCGTTGAGCGACTGGGGAAGCCGCGCCTCGAGGAAGTGGCGGATGGCGACGCGGTCATCCTTCGGTCGCCCGCCGACGCCGCGCGCCGACGCATGGCCGAGGTTGTGGTGCGCCTCGCGGTTGCTCGCCGCCGCGGCGACTTCGAAGTGGCGCACGGCCTCCTCGACGCGGCCCTGGTCGAGGCGGAGCTGGCCCAGGTTCAGCTCCGGCTCGAGGTCCGCCTCGTCCGCGCGCCCCGCGGCTTCCACGAAGAGCGCCTCCGCCGCGGCCCGGTCGACCTCGACGCCGTCGCCCAAAACGTGCGCGACGCCCAATTGCGTCGCCGCGCGGCCAAAGCCCAGCGCCGCGGACCGCTTCAAAAGAGACGCCCGCTCCGCGCGCGACGACACGCGGTACGAGTGTAAGAACAGCGACAGCGCGTCGTCCGCGCCCGCGGACCACTGTTTGCTGTCCGCGTCGCACGCGGGCGAGTCCTCGAACCAGACGATCAAACTCCAGCGCTTGCCCCGGGTCACGTCGACGCCGTGGAAGAGGTCCGACTGGTGGACGACGGCGTCGCCGAGGGCCAGGTCGGCGAAGCGTCTAGCGCCCGTGTTCGTCTCGAAATACAAGCCGCCGTCGTAGTCCGCCGGGTCCGAGAGGCTGACGACGACGGTGACGAACGCGTCGTGGTCGAAGTGCGTCGGATGCCGCGTCCGCTCCTCCGCGCGGTACCGCCGCACGAGCGAGGCGCACGGCGCGCAGCGGCCGCCGCACGCGCTGAAGCGCTCGTTCACGTAGCTAGAGATCGCATCTAGGGCGGGACCGAACGCGTCGACGGCGTTCGCGCGTACGTCGGCCGCGCCGAGGCGTCGGCGCGGGCCGGCTTTGAAGAGGTAGAGCTCGAAGGCCGGCATGTCGTCGACGCTGTCGAGCGCCTCGTCGAACTTGACGCGCGAGAGGATGGTTCGTAATTTTTGCACCGATGTCTCGTCCAAGGCGTTGCGTAGCGTGGCGTACCGCGACACGACGCCCTCCATGGCACCGACCCACGCCATGGAGCCCTCCTCGACGGCGAACTCATGAGCTTTGAGCGCGATGGCGCTGAGGAGGAGGAGACGACGTAGGCTCATTTTATCATCTCTAATGCGCGGGCTTTTGTGGCTTTTAGCGACTTTTTTAGTGGCGAGCCCGGGAGTCAGAGGAGAGAGATGGACCCGGCATTAGAGGCGAAAAAGCGCGCATTTGAGGCACAAAAAGCCCGTACAAAACTGGCTCTGAATCTCTGCACAATTTGCGGTAAAGGAAACGCGAAGCTTTGCCAAGGTTGCGGGACGACGGCTTACTGCTCAACAGCCTGTCAAAGAATTGATTGGCGCGACCGGGGCCACCGGAAGGCGTGTAAGAAGATCCGCGACGAGCGAGCGGCGGAGGCGGCGCGGGCGGAGGCCCCGGCGCCTTCGCCGTCGCCCCCGCCGGAGGTGTTCTACGGCCCCGCGCCGCGGTCGCACGCCGACGAGGTCCGCGCGCGCATCGCCGCGGAGCACGAGGCCGCTCGGGCGCGGCGCGAGGCGGAGCCGGAGGCGACGTCGATGACTGGACGTTTAGGATCGCGGTGCCCGATCTGCATGGAGGACTGGGACGTGAATGCTCAGCGCGTGATTCGCGTCTGTTGCTGCCGGTTTACCTGTCAGTTGTGCGACCAGAAAACTCAACGCATGCCTTGTCCTCTCTGTCGTTCGCAACCTGCAAAATCGGACGCGGAGGAGCTGGCTCGACTTCGTCGCCACGTGGAGAACGAGCAGCCGGAGGCAATAACTTATTTGGCTCAATCATACGTCAACGGTAGCCATTACCTCGTAAAATCTGGGAAGAAAGCCGCGAAGCTCTACAAACGTGCCATGGAGCTTGGAAACACCGACGCGATGTATCATCTCGGGTACCTATGTTCTGCTGGATATGGTGTCAAGCGGGACACGAAGAAGGCAGAAAAGTTGTGGAAAAAGGCCGCAGACCGGGGACACGCGGGCGCTCAGCTCGTATTTGGACTTAGTATTCAGAATCAGGCACACGCCACTTCAGGCATCATCGGCGAGCAATACGATGAAGCTTTTCGTTATTTCTCATTGGCTGCCGATAAGGGACATGCCGCGGCGATGTGGAAGGTCGGCGGCTGCTACGAGGGAGGCCTCGCGGGTGGCTACGGCGTCGAAGCCGACCTCGACGAAGCGAAGCGCTGGTACGCGCGCGCCGCCGCCAGGGGCTATGAAGAAGCCAAAAAGGATCTCGCCCGCCTCGCCCAGTCAGATCCTTAATATTTCAGTCCGCGGGCGGCGGCGGCGGCGGCCGCGGCGCGAGGAGGTCCTTGAAGAGCGTCTCCCCGATGGCCGCCCAGGCGTCGACGACGCCGTGGGCGAAGACGAGGCAGTTGTCGTGGGTCTCGCCCGCGTCGTAGGCCGCGCGGAACTCGGTCCAGGTCGCCGGCCCCTGCTGCGCGCCCGACGCGTCCTGGTAGTACACGAAGCAGTCGCGGATCTCGGCGGGCACGGCGTCCCCGGGCTCCTCAGAGGGCGCCGCCGCGATATCCTCCGCGTCCTGGGACGGTTCTGCGAGCGAGTCGCGCGCCGCCGCGATATCCTCCGCGTCCTCGGACGGCTCCGCGAGCGAGTCGCGCGCCGCCGCGGCCTCCTCCGCGTCCTCGGACGGCGCCGCGAGCGACTCGAGCGCGGCCGCGAGCTCCGCCGCGTGCTGCCCGGCCGCGAGCGCCGCCTCGCGCTCCGCGACGAGCGCCGCCTCGCGCCGCTGAAGCGCCGCCTCGCTCTGTCCAGCCGCGAGCGCGGCCGCGAGGTCGCCTCGCAGCTTCGGCGCGGCGCCCGCGGTGAAGGAGCTCACGCGCTCGCGCGGCGGCGGGTCGTCCGTGAGGCGGCGCGGGACGGCCATCTCGAACTCCTCGTCGCTGAGCTCGTAGGCGTCCTCGCCCGCGACGCGCGGCGGCGGCGGCGCGGCCGACGGCTGGAGCGACGCGACGCACTCCTTGATGCTCAGGATCCACTCGCCGAAGTCGCGCTTCGCGAGCGCGCGCACGGCGAAGTGGTCCCGCGGCGCGCCGTCCCCGTCGAGCGCGTCGGCGATCTCGAAGTAGAGCGGCTCCGCGTCGTCGGGCAGCGCGGCGGCCGTCCGGCCCCGGAGCGACACGGACGCGGGCGTCGCGACGGTCGTCTTCGCCGTCAGCTTCACGACGCCTTTCAGCGCGCCGGCGTCGTCGCGGTAGGCGAGCTCGCCCTTCGCAAAGTCCAAGGAAAAGGTCCGCTCGCTCCAGTTGCGCCGCGTGCCGAACGAGAGGCGGCGGCCGGCGGCCCTGAGTCCCGCGACGGAGCCGCGGCTGCCGCCCTTCTTGAGCAGCGGCCCGCGGACGCGGAGCGGCGCGCGCGTCCGGCGGCACAGGGCCGCGCCGTAGTCGGGCGCGAGGGGGCGCGCGCCGATGGCCGCGGCGAGCGCGGCGCGCCAGTCTTCCAAAGACGGGCCGCCGGCGTTCTCGACCGCGCGGCAGAAGTGGAGCCGGATGGCGCCGTGCTCCGCGATCAAGAGCTCGCCGTCGGCGACGACGGCGGCGCCCAGGGCGGCGATGGCGATGGTCGCGCGCACGCGCTTGCCCTGGCGGACCTCCTCGTAGGCGAGGGTCGAGTCGCTGAGCTCGAAGGCGCGCGGCCGCCAGGTCCCCGCGGCGGACTTTTTGTCCAGGAGACCGCGCAGGACCATGGTCGAGGTGGGGCGGCGTTCGATGTGTCGTTCAAAACAAGGCGTGTTCGGCTAGAGCTCTCAGACCATGGGGCTGCCGGACTGTGCCCGGAATCGCAAAAACCTTCTTGTTGAACCGGCGTTGCCGTTCGAGTAAACCGTTCAAACGTCAAAGCTCGGAGAGCAGCCCCGCGTCCGTCGTCGTCGTCGTCCGTGCGGTTTTGCTGCAAAGCCGCCGCCGCCGGCGCCAAAGAAAGAATGGAGCCGGAGAACGCGCAGATCCTGCAGCTCCAGCGGGACCTCGCCGCGGAGCTGGGCAGCGGCCTCGGCGAGGGCGGCGAGTTCGAGCTCGAGCGCGCGAAGATGGTGGCGCAGTTCGGCGAGCGCTGCGACGCGTTCCGGCGCTACGAGGAGCGGCTCGAGCGGCGCGCCAGGGCCGCCGAGCGGCGCTGGAAGCGCGACCGCTCGGAGTCCGACGGCCTCGCGGCCGAGAACTCGCGGCTCCTCCGGGAGCTCGACGTCGCGCGCGCGTACATCGAGACGCTGCAGCGGTCCCAGCGCGAGCGGCTCGACGAGAGCCTGCGGGGCGACACCGGCGACGACGGCGGCTACGTCGTGTCGCCCGTGTCCGACCTCGACGACTCCTTCGACCGCGAGGACGCGGGCGCGCCGCCGCCGCCGCCGCCGCTGCCGCGCGCGGGCGTCGGGCTCGTGGGCTGCGCCGTCGAGCGCGAGCTCGTGGACCTGCGGCGCCACGCGGCGGCCCTGGCCGCGGCCCTCGACCGCGCGAAGCGGCCCCGGGCCGAGGCCGCGACGCCGCCCGCGCGGCGGCCGCTCGACGACGACGAGCGCGGGGCGCCGCAGCTCGAGTTCGACGTCGCGGCGGCGGAGGAGGAGAGCCGCCTCGAGCAGGCGCTGGAACGCGAGCGCGCGCGGACCGCCGAGGCGAAGCGCGACGGCGCGCGGCTCGCGGCCGACGCCGACGCCGCGGCGCGCGCGCGGTGCCGGCGCGCCGGCGCGGCCTGGGCGTCGCGCCTCGTCGCGCGCGCGCGCCGCGGCGACCTGCGGCGCGCCCTCGGCCGCTGGCGCGGCGCGCGCGTCTTCCTGCGGGACCGCGAAACCGCCGTCGGCCGCGGCGCGGCCGCGGCCGCCCGCGCGCTTCGCGCGGCGGGCCGGCGACGGGCGGCGCGCGCGCTCGCGCGCTGGACCGCCGCCGCCGCAACAGCGCGCGCGCGCGCGGCGGCGGCGGACGCGACGGCGCGGGACGTCGCGCGCGTCCGCGACGCGGCGGCCGCGGCGCTCGCGCGGGTCGCGCCCGGCGCCGCGCTCGGCGCGGCGCCCGCGTCCGTCCGCGACCTCGCGGGCGACGTCGCCCGCTTCGCCGCGGCGGCGGACGCGACGGCGGCGCGCCACGCGCGCTGCGCCGCCGCGGCCGCGGACAGCGCGCGCGCCGAGGTCGCCGCGGAGCGCCGCGCCGCG